AAAAATACTAACTAGTTAATATTTTATTACTTGAAAAATATTTTATGTTTTATATTATAAAGTAATTAATTTATTCTTTTGTTTTTATATTTTGTTAATTATTTTTATAAATATTTTATTTGAAATATTAAATAGAAATTATTAATGGAATAATCTATATTAATATACTGTATTATATTAATATAATATAGTAATATATTATATTTTTAATGTACATTAGTCGACATCTTGACGACATAATAGGAAAAATTATATTTTTTTGGTTATTTGGACCGACATAATGTATTTTTTATATTACCATTCACTTTCATGTCGGTGAGCCTCGACATCGACATATGTCGGGCGACATTAGCGAAATTTGGCGACATTTGAAACCATGATTTAAATAGGTTTCTTCTTCTCCTGTCTTCTCAATGACTCAATTTCTGTTCTAGGAATAGGTCTTTCACACTCATGTTGGATCTTCCCTCATTACCAGGTAAAATGTGAGGTATGATTTCCTTTTATAAGAATTGTATACCTCTGTGTATTTAAGTTGAAATTTGAGAAGGTATACACCTCTCAACATTTGAGGCCAAGGTTGAGTTGTACTCCTCACTGCCTTGCCTAATAGCCTTTTCAAACCATACCCTGTAGTTATTAAACAGAATGTAAAAGAGTCCATAAACACATTAACAACCTTTAAACCCTAATTTCTTTCAGGAGTTGTGCTTTGCGAAGTGAAGCTGCTGATGTTATGGGGAAGCAATTTTTCTTTGTAATCATAAAATCAGCTTGCTAATCCAATTAAGATTGTCAAGATCATCATTTGTTCTATTATATTATTGGAAGTATTGCAGGAAACTAAATGCCTTAATTTGATATTTACCCTTTCTTCTCTTTTTGTTACTAATAAGTGGTAATTATGCAGATTCATTCTGTCAAATTATGTGTCTATCTTTAGAACCTTGGTTGCATATGAACAGGTGATTATTTCAATGACTTGATAACATACTGTTGAGTTGGCCTGTAATACTATCAAAATCTTCTTACTTTACAATGGTTCTGTGGAAATTCTTTAGGTCTTGCGTCATCAGATATGTTCACTTCTCATGACTAACCTTCGTACCAACGTTGAGGTAATTTAAAATTTAACTTCATGGTGGTTGGAACTTTTTGATAAATTAGAGGTGTTGAGCCATGCATGCTGATTTTAGAGGGATTACTTTCTGTATTGTTAATTTTTCTGCCCCTTGTAATTAATGTTAAATCAGGTTGAAGGGGAAGCAGGAGAACCATCATTCCGTCGATTGGTCTTGCGGTCAGTTGCCCATGTTATAAGGCTTTATAGTACGTCTCTTATCACTGAATGTGAGGTATGATTCTTTATCAAAGTTCTTTTCTCAATCAATTAATCTGAATTGTGATATGAAAATCAATTAAATTGAATAATGAATTATGCTCATAGTTTCCAGTACCAAAAATGCTTTTTGAGTTTTCATTGTGGTAGTCTAGCTGTACATGTTTCATGTGTAGCCATGCGATTGTGTTGTTTGATAACAAATTCTTATTTTGATCAGTAAGTATCAACATTTTATTAAAAGATGAACCTTGTGGAAAATATGTGATTATTGTTAAGGTGGATCACTTTTATCAAAACCATTCTTTAACTTTCTGGTGTAATTTTAGTTTTCATTTTCTAAGTTGAGGACATGGTTTTAAATGTCTATGTTTCCTAATTTTCCAACATATTTTCATTTTCATTTTCATTTTCATGGGCACCAAAACAAAATATTATCGAAATATATTTTGACATATTCCCAGGTGCATTGGAATCTTTTATTTTGTTTTTAAGAAGTTTTACTATGTTATATCAATATAAGGTTTTCATTTTATATGTACATGGATGCTATCCAACAGTTTTTTTTAATATGATTATGTTCTTCAAGCTTATCATTATAGAAGATTGTTTACTTATATATTTTTAATTTACAATTCATTAATATTGTAACCTCTTAATATTGTAACCTCTTATGAAGAGGTTTTTTTAATATTGTAACCTCTTATGAAGAGTAAATAATATAATAGCTTAAGAAATATATTCATGTTAAATTCTAACTTTTATATTAAATTGGACAAAAATAAAATAGTATTTAGAACTAAAATATTAAATTGCGGGTATTAACCTTTAAATTTATTCTAAGTGGAGGAAGATGCCATTATTAAAATGGTGTAATCATGTTGTAATGATATAATTATTTAAAAGAGTATATCCTTTTATAATTTTAAACCTTGAAATTTATAACTTTAAGAAAATGGTAACCAAATTTCTAATTTTACAACATATTTCTTATTTTTAAATAGTCTATATTTCCCTCAAAATTGACAGTTAAAACCTTGGTTTGGTATGGCTGTTTTTGGTTGACTGATCTAGTTTTTGGAAAGTATTTGTGAAGTAGAAAGGTGGGCCCACTTGGATTTTAGGAATCCAAGATTAAAGAACAAGGTTGTTTAGAGGTTTGAGAATGACAAGTTCTCTCAAGATTCCTGACAGAGTGGGTGTTCTGTACAAGGTTGACCGTTGCATTTATGATAATTTCTCACTGAGTTTCAATATCATGTGTTGTTGATGAAGGAGGAAGAAAGAAGGAGGGATCTGACTGGTGATTCTGTCATTAGATTCATATCAGGGAGGAGTCCAGAGACTTCATTGTGACTATGAGATCTTTCTCCAACTTTCTAGCCAGACTTGAGGATCAGTCTGTACCTGTTAATATTATTTGGTGCATGATCATTCCTTCAAAAGTTGGCTTCTTTTGGTAGTCAATCAAGACTACAGTCAGTCTTGAATTCCAAAAGATTTCGGATTGAGAAAAGTAGAAGAAAGATGGAGAAGAAAGCAAAAGTACACAAGGGTTTTGAAAGGAGGGACAGATCGAATAATTTTGCCACCACCACTCTCTCAATATTTATAGGTTATGTTCACTAAATGTAGAAAAGGGCAGAATTGCCCTTAATGCTTACATGGCAAATAAAACAAATAATAAACTGAAATAACAAGCTGTCTAAGATAACTACTAACTAACACTGACATAACTAACAAAGGTTACATGTGCTGTCATACGAACACAGTG